GGGGGGGGGGGGGGAGTGTTACTTGCCCTGCCAGCTTTTCTTCTGCGATTTTCTCTTTTTCACCCAATACAGAGCGGAGTGGGGGGAGGGGACAGCGGGCCCCTTGGGCCCCTCCCCTAGATCCGCCACTGGTGTGACATTTTTTCAAACATACGAGGTAACAAAATACCAGCAACTGACAGTTTACCCTGCGTGATCCTACTTCTTGAGAGTGACGCTTTTTAACTGCCACAGAAACTGAGGTGTATCGGTTAAAGATCAATCTGCCTCCTACGAAAAAGAACAGGGAAACGTGCTTTGATTGTAAACAGCTATAAATCACTCCACAACCAAGTATGGTAAGTGAGCAGTGATAAGTGAGCAGTGATCAGATTTATGCAAACTGAGCACTCTAGCTTTCGGGGAAAAGAAAACAAATTGACATTTAAGTATACAAGAAATGTAAACTGTCAACCGCACATTTATGGTAAGACAACACAACCACTGACTACTATGCCTATACCACTATGCCGTTTCTAAGAAAAAAGAAAACGTGAGTTATTTATAAACGACTATGAACCACTCCATAACCAAATATGGTCAGTAAAAGCCACCATTGGTCAGATTTATGTTGCAACAAGCCCCAACTGCGTTGTTTTCGAGAATGCAACAATTCACTAGACGCTTTTTTACCCAAAATAAGGGGGGGTGCCAGGCCCCCCCCCCGGGCCCCTCCCCTAGATCCGCCACTGGTGTGACATTGTTCAAGCAAACGAGGTAATAAAATGCAAGCAACTGACAGTTTACCCCGCGTGGTCCTACTTCTAGAGAGTGACGCTTTTTAATTGCCACAGAAACTGAAATGTAACGGCTATAGATCACTTTCCACTCAAAAGCGCAGAGAAAACCCTGATCTGCCTTCTACGAAAAAGAACAGGGAAACGTGCTTTCATTGTAAACAACTATAAACCACTCCACAACCAAATATGGTAACAAAACGGGAGCAGCAATCAGATTTATGCAAACTGAGCACTCTAGCTTTCCAAGAAAAAAAAAACCATTTAAGTATACAAGAAATGTAAACTGTCAACTGCAAAATTATGGTAAGACAACACAACCACTGATCAGATTTATGCGAGAAATAAACCCGAACTATGCTGTTTCTGTAAGAATAGAACACATCCCCTCGGCAACAGCTATAGATCACTTTTACTCGATCTGCTTTCTAAGAAAAAGAAAACGTGAGTTATTTGTAAACAACTATGAACCACTCCACAACCAAATATGGTCAGTAAAAGCCATCACTGGTCAGATTTATGTGGCAACAAGTCCCAACTGTGCTGTTTCCTAGAATCCAATATTTAAGTGGACGTATAAAAGTTAACGCACTTTGCCCTCGGCACTCAGTTACACAGCTGTAAACTAAGCTCCTCTTGTGCTCAACTGAAGTTTTAAGAAATCACTACGAAAAAATGGCTGGGACAGACATAGTCATCGATGGAGAGCAATTCAACCTAGTGTCCATACCAAACGCAGGAAGCAAACTAGTGCAGACTGCTAAAGAGTATCTTCTTGGCTCGCTGGATCTCCACAGCCTGGTAGAAGACTTGGGAAAACTCGGTAACTTCATTCGCGTCGCGTACAATGGTGTAGCAGGACACACTGAAGTACAGATCAAAGTACAGCGAGTTGGCTACAAGATAACGAAACTGGCCGACAAATCAGCCGTCACCGTACACAAATTTAAAGGTGCATCACAGAGCGTACTCGAAGAACTTAAGGGCACCTACGAATACTTGCTGGATGGACTGGAAGAGATGGCGCTAGAAACACTCTCGCAACTTACCAGCATTGCCAAAGATATGGCTGCGGCTGCAGATGAACTGCACAACGACTTCGAGAAGGCAACAACCGATGTAATAGGTGCTTTAGAAGACACACAGAGAGCCAAAGGTTCTGAGGAAGAAAGAAAGAAAGCTCGGGAGGAAGAAAGAAAGGAATTTGAAATCCAAAAACAGAAAGCAGTGATGCAGCAAAAGCATGCAACTGAAGCAGAAGAGCGAGCAAAAGCATTCTATGACGAGGCTCAGAAGAGAGAAGACAAGGCGATCGACGCACAGGACAGCCTCCTAAACACAATAACGGGTGCGTTAACAGGCATTGTAAGTGCTGCTGCATCGGTGGCAACTCTTGAGGTCGACAAGGCAGTCCAAAAGATAGCCAGCATTGGTGACAAGTCGGGGCACAAAGAAGCCATGAAGATGGCAAACAAAGAAAAAAAAAAGCAAATGGAAGAAATGCAGAAGCAGCGAGATCTTCGCCAAGAGGCTTTACTACAGTGCTTAGAATTCGCAGAGAAAATCAAAAACTGCCAGGATGACAGCGCGTTGGCGGAAGCAGCCATTGAAGCCTTGCACAGCTCCATCGGCGCACTCAAATCTCTTTCCGCTATCATGATGAAAGCAGCCATATTCTGGCAACAGATGCAAATCCACTGTGAGTCTTTGGCGACAGGAGAAATGCAGAAGCAAGTTGAGAGAGCAATGAAGCTGGACGAAGGAAAGCGTATTAAAGTTTGGACTTCTAATGCCTTCAAGGGAAAAGCCCTGCGGTACTATTCCAAGTGGGTTGCTCTGGATGACGTGTGCGGCGTGTACATGTTGCAGATCAAGGAGACCAGAGAAGATCTGTACAAGTACTTGGAGGATAACCCAACCATCGAACAGGCCAGAAAGAACGTACGTGAACTAGCGGCCACGTTTGGAAATGATTTAAAAGAAGCTCAGCAAAAGCTGGAGAAGGAAAACAAGAAGGCTTTACAGGCGAAAAAGGAACTTGAAAAGTCTTAGGACTAAAGCAAACCTAAAGGAACACAAAACATCAACAATAAAGAACTGTGGAGTAATTACCTTAGTTTACTTGACATACCTATTTAATGTTAATGTTGTTTTTATCAAGCCCGAACACAAACCTCCGCTAGGCTTTCCTTTTCTGGACTTTAGTTATTTTCTAGACTGCAAATTGCCATTCTTAAAGGGAGAAATCTGTTCGAGTTTTCTCTCAAGTATATGGATATCGTATACTTTTCGTCTGTTTCTTCAAAGACTTTTATGACACTTTTTGATAATATAATTTGTTATAATAGCAACCTACAAGCTACTTTTCTCCTTACGTATTATGGAGTATGTCTCCTGCACATGCAAAATCGTTACCATTGATGCTTTCTTTCGAAGTTTTGCTGAAGTTATGTGATGAATTGTCAATGCAGTGGTATGCCAAAAACAATCTAAGGTTGTTGAATTCATTTCAGGGAAAAATGTTCTCATATGAATAACCTGATGTTGAAACATATAATAGCGTTTTTGTAGCCAGGATGTCCATAAGTGTGATTGCGACGTAACGCAATGTTGTTTGAATAGGTTTATCACTTAGTTAGAAAACTGCAAAATTTTTCAAAGGTAACATCGTTGCAAGTAGGTCTTTGTAAAACACCTATTGTGTAACACTGGAAATTTGAACAAACTTATTTTGTAATTTTTCCTCGGTCGTATTTTGGCTTTGATTCCTTGGAAATGACTACTTGAGTATTCTAANACGATCGAGTTTGTTGAAAAATATATACTTATCTCATGATTTTGAGCCTTTTTAGAAGTTAGAGCATTAGGAAAAGTGCTTATTTAAAAGCTTGTTTGTTTAGTACTGATAATCAGTCGCTTAGAAAGCCAAAGTAAGTTCCAGATGTTTACACTATATTCCAGCCGCCATATTGGTGTACCTCGAAGTTAAACTTGTAAAGGTGAATCATGTTTGTGAAGATTTCATCCCGATTTTAGAACGGACATCTTTGTTCTTCTATTAACTGAAGCAGGTATTCTTATATTGGCCTTATTCCGACATTTCCAATGCTGCTTTTACTGTGGTTAAGCCCAGGACTTTGTAGATGGGTTTCAAAAGATTTGAAAATTTGATAATCAGCCGAGGAATCAGTCTTTGGTATACACTAACATGTCGTCAAGGCTTTGCTTTTCGCATTAAATGACCTTTCGAATGAAATGGTGATTTGGTGATTTCTAGGACAGCAACGATTGTTTTCAGTGCAAAATGCACTATTGGGATGGTGAGGGGACTTTCGTCCGTGATGGTCCAAACTATTTATGTTTGCGCAAAATGTTTCAGTTCCTCAATGCAAGTCTCAATTAAATAGCGCTCAATCACGGAGTAATACTGTTTTCTCGTTGAAACTTTTCTTGGAATCGATACTGAGAAACTCATTAATATTTGAAGTGGTTTTCTCTGTCAAAACCAAAGCAATTACGGACGGCTACTTGCGAATGAGAACACTGCTGAGTTTTGAAATTTGTTTCTGTTGTAGGTAAATGTAACAAGACATTTTTATTTGTTTCAATATTGGAAGCGCATAGATCACGTTAGTTCCGATAGTGCGAATCCAGCCACACTTAACACAGGCGACACTCACAAGACAAATTACAAATGTATGCGTGTTTTTTTATTTTAAAAAAGTAGTTATTTACATCTTCTCTACCAAGTGTCTACCAATTCATTTTCTCACGGAAACGTTAGACCGTTCTATTGAGGCAGCGTCCACACTACGTCGGAGGAATTTGAAAACGTAACTTTATTTCTACGGTTAGGCTTACGGTCAACACTAATCAGTCACGAAAACGGCGCATTTCGAAAAGGCTCTTCAAACCGAAGGAATTGAAAAACTCCCGCTCTTCGTTTTCATTTGGACAGAAAACATTTTGAAAACAGAGCTGGCGTCACGACAATCACGTGATTTCCCTGACCGGTGATTGGTGCGTTTTTGAATTCCTCCGGCGTAACGTGGACGCGCGGGGCCTGAGTTCCCCAAAGAAACGTAATGCATGTGATCACGGTTTTACCACGTGAGTGAAAGCGTGCAACCCCGTGCTACCTGCATTGCTAATTACATAGAGGAGTAGAGTCGAACAAAGGCAGTTTATTTAACAACTGTTACACGTCAGCTTGTAGAAGCAGCGTTTTGACGAATTATTTGGATTTCATTGATTACTCATCAGTTGGTACTCCGGCCTGGCTTACTTCTTGGCTGGCCAATCAAATGAAACTCAAACCCAGTTGCAAATATACTACAACCAATCAAAGTAGAGTTTTCTGTTGATAAGCCACTCAGAGACCAGTCAGAGTGGAGATGCCTCTGGATTGACCAATCAGGCGCAACTGAAACCCATTTTTAAAACACTTTAACCAATGAGAAGAGATGCCCTCATAATCAACTCACACCTGGTTATGAAAAGCCCTGGATATGTTTCACAACTGTTTTTTTTGTCTACATGAACAATAAAACCAACCATTCATTTTGTTTTTTCGTTTCAACTTTTGGCCGGTTTGTCACACTTGAGAGTCCCATGTCTGCGTGTACGTTATGTGCTTCTAAAACCTCTCTACCCTAAAAATTGTGGCGTGAATGTCTTTTGGAAAGACGTGTTTGTGTCCAGACAATTGCTCATGCTGCATAGCACGATTAAACCAAACTACAAGACCACGCATGCGCTACTTTCGGTCGCGTTGCCTCTGTCTGATTGACTGTTTCTTGTCTCTTTGGCGGGTGGGGCCTGGGCAGGAGCAGCCTGGGTGTTTGCATTCGTTTCTCCAATGACCGCTCGTACTTCGGATACCTACAAACGAATTACAGCGTATTGCTATATCAGCAAATCGTTTAACTTTACTCCATGCAATGATTGATTGTGATCCTTATGGCAAACAGGATTCGAGCAACAATGAAGGAACGTTAATCAAAAGAGCATGGAGCAAGAAATGCCGTACAGGAACATACTTCATAGCATGTTTATGATCAGAGAAAAACCTAAATTCACATACCGAAACAATGTTCTTGCCTTCCGACTGTTTCTTGTCACACAGATTGCGAATATTATTCTGAAATCAAGACAATAGCAACTTCGTCAAACATTTTTAAGGCACTTAAGGAGAATAATCGTTAAGACTTGACAAAACAGCAGTAACACAGAAAATAGTCCCTTGATGTTTGTGAATTATCTCACCATTTTGTCCTGAAGCCGTTTATTTTGTTTCTTCAGTGTCGCTATCTCCGCCATTCCTTTGACCACAGCTGGGTTGAGGGAGACCTACAAAAAAACGGGAATACGTTATCGCGCCTTATATTGTAAAATTGTTGCGAAAACGTCCAATATGTGTAATGTCTGCAATGCATATCCGTGCAGACATGCGTTATCATGCAAAGCCCTTTATAATTCATAAATCTTCAACCTCTTCTGTAAAGCTTAAGAAATATCATTACTTTATTGTGTACTTACGTTCTTCTTCAACGTTTCTGCTCTCATTATTGCCTTGGTATTTTTGCCCTTTTTGGCCGCCACGTTGACTGGTTTCTTGTCGACAACCTGTTTGCCCCAGAGTTGTATGACGACAGACGCATCCCTTAGAAACTTGATTAACTGTGAAGGAAAGAAAAAAAGAATAGTTAAAAGTTTCAAATCTGTGGATAACACCCTGGTTTGTAACCACGCATTCAAATAAAAGCTCTTGGGCAGTACTTTCATGTGGTACTGTTTGCTGCTGTACTGGATGGTTCTTACTTTCAAGTCAGGCAAAACCCTAGTGTGACTCTTCAAATTGAAAGCCACGAAGCATAACTTTCACTCTTAAAACGAAATGTAGGTAAGTAGGTTAAGTATTGTGTCGTGTTGCAAGTAGAGTAAGGCAATGTAAGTAATTATGTGTTTAGCAATAAAAAAATAAAAAAACCCGAAATGCTAAGAGCTGTAAACATTGTAGGTAAGTCAAGTCTGCATACGGGCAAATTGGGCCATCAGGCCG